TCAATAGGTCTCTCAGTTGGCTTTTCTTCTTCAGCGGGTTTCCCAGCTCCCTCCTGTGCGGCAGTTGTTCCTTCCTCTCCTACAGGCTTTTCAGTTGGCTTCTCTTCATCAAGAGGAGATGGCTTCTGAACGCCTTCTTCTATCTCAGGTGGCCTTTCTGCACTCAGGTCATCCTCTTTGCGTTCACTAATTGGCGGTTTAGTTGGCACGTGTTGCTCAGTAGGAGCACGTGTTTCTTCCTTTTCTAATCCTTCAGTAACAGCTTGTTCTGTCGATGGAGATGGAGATGAAGTCAGTGGTCCTTCAGTTGGACCTTCTTCCTTCACTGGCTGCTCCGTCTTTTGTTCTTCTTGCATTCCTTCGGTCGATGTTTCTTCTTTGGTTACCGGTGCTTCAGTCTGTTCAAGAGCTGGTTGTTCACTAGCTGTTTTTGTTTCTGGTGCTTCTGTTTTCTGTTCTTCCTCTGATCCCACTGTTGGATGAATTTCAACTGTTAAAGTGCCTTCAGTTGGTTTTTCAGCCTCTATCGTTTCCTGAGTTGTTGGTGAACCTTCTATTCCTGGAGTAGTTGCTTCTTCCGGTATTTCTTCAACCATAGGTTTCTCGCTTGTTTCAGGTTGCTCATCTTTGCTGACAGTCGTGCCTATTTTTTCACCCTCAATTCCCTCAGTGACTGGAGCTTCCTCTTCAACAATTGGTTTTTCAGTAGCCTGTTCTTTAGGTGCTTCGGAACTGACACTAGGCTTTTCGCTTGGCAGAGCTTCTTCTGGCGCCACAGTACCTTGTTCTTTTTGCTCTGTAGTAGGTTTTTCTTCTGGAATTGCACTGATCTCCGTAGCGGGTACTTCAACGCGTGGGACTTCTGTCGAAGACGTCTCTTGAATACCTTCCGTACTTGCCTTCTCGGATTCTATGGTTTGTTCCTGGCCAGATGGTTGTTCAGTTTGGTGTTTTTCTGTTACAGGTACCTCAGTTGGACTTGGAGTTGTTGCCTCAGGTGGATATTCTTCAGGTTTTTCTTTCGCTTCTTCGCTGGAATCGTTCACTTCTTCGGACGAAGTTTCTCCAGATTCTCCGATAGTCAATCCTTTTGTTGGCAACTCTTGTTCCTCTGAAGTTTCTTTTGTTGGTGAAACTTCAGACGATGATATTTCAGTACTCTGTTCCTCTGGTAAGGTAGGTTGTTCAGTCTCTTGAGATACTTCCTGCGGAGCTTTCGATGTTGACGTTGAAATTTCTGTTACAGGACTAGGTTCAGTACCTCTAGGAGCAGCTTCTGTTATCTCTTTCTCTTCACCTGGAATTTCACCAGTTTCTGTAACCGAGGGAGCGCCTTCTTCAGCCTTTTCTGGTGCAATCGAAGTGGACAAGGTTTCCTCCAGCAACTGCGCCTGCATGGTAGTTCCTTCTTCCGTAGGTACCGTTTCATGCTTAGGAGCAATCGTTGTTTCTTGAACAGGAGGCAAATACGTGGACGAAGTCTTTTGCTCAGGTGCTTCAGTTACAAGACTGCTCGGTACAGTGGATTCTGGTGGCTTCATATCAACGTAACCTTCTGTGATTTGAATTTCAGTTATTGCTTCTTTATCCTCTGCTTTACTTTCTGGTGCACGATCGGTAATCGAGATACCTGGTGGACCGTGTTCCGGAATTTCAGGTGTTTCTTCTTCCAAGGGATATTCGCTTGTCGCAGTTGGTTGCTCGCTAGTTTCTGGTAATTGAGGAGGAATCATGTCTTCTTTTTTGGGAGCCAAGCTAGGTTCGTGTACTGGCAGTTCTGTCTTCTGTTCCACTGCACTTTCTGTTATTTCTCCTACACCATATTCTGATGGAATTGATGACGCTTCTGTAGGTTGTCGTTCCGTACTTACTTCCATTGGCCTTTCTTTTTCTTCTTCAGGAACTTTTTCAGGGATTTGTTCGGTGCTTGGAACCTCTTTGACAGGTTTCTCGGTAGTTACTTCTATCTCAGGTGTTGCAGCTTCTTCTGGTTTCGTTTCAGTAGGTGTCTCTGTCGACAGTCTCTGGTCTGGAGTTTCAGTTTCGGTTGCTTCTGTTGCTTCTTCTTCGTCCAAAGTCTTAGCCGTTGTTACTTCTGCTTCAGGAACCGGAGATACTTCCTTTTCTTCAGTTGGAACTTCCGGTGCTTGTGTAGGTATCTCAGTTTTTTCGACTGGATGCTCCTCTTTCAGTATTATTTCTTCAGTCACGCTCTCTTCCGTTGGTTTCTCTTCCTCTTTCTTTTCACCACTTGGTAATTCTGGTTGTTTCTCCTCAGGCACTTCAGTTTGTGTTTCTTCTGGCATTGTTTGTTCAGTACTCACCTCAGGTTTTTCTTCTTCTCTCACTGTAGTTACCTCCTCTGATGTAACTTCTACTTTTGGTGAAGATTCCGGTATTTCTTCTGGAGCTGAAGTTTGAATTACTTCTTGAGTAGTTTCTTCTGCAGGTGTAGTAGCCGTTTCTTCGCCCTTTTCTTCCACAATTGGTGCCTCCGTTGCCTCACCCGTTGCTTCCTCAGGAGGTTCGGTCAATTTTGGCGCTGCGCTCGATGCTTCCGTTACGGTTGGAACGCCTTCAGTAATATATTCTTCTGAAATGCTTGTTTCCCTCTCAGTGGTTGGGATTTCTGGAGCAGCGGTTTCATGTACCGAAGGAGCTTCTTCTTTCTTGGGTTCTTCCGTGGACGCTTCGGTCGGAGCCTCAGTAGAGGCCACGTGGTCTTGAGGAATCACGTTGTCAGAGCCTGGGAACGACTCCTCTGTAGTTTCAGATACTTCCTTCTCAACTTCCGTAACTGACGTAGAAACTGTCGTTTCTAAAACCTCTCCCTCGGTAGATTGTTCCTCGCCTCTGGGTAACGTTACAAGTCCTCCATCATCTTCTATGCAACAAAAAACGTTCATATGGAACTTGTTCCGCGTACATCATATTGTCTGCTGCTCTTGAGTAGCGTAATGAAGGAAGAAGTTTCTTACCACACTGGTACGTAGTTGGACAACACTCTCCTTCCGGCGGTGACAGAGCCGTGCAATTCTTTCCGTGAGTTTTCATCGGTGTTCCGCAATCTTGCACAGCGCACGCGATGTCACCGCGGAAACAATAACAATGCTGACAAGGCTGGGTCGAATAGATCAAGTCGCCGTCCTCGTAGACCTTCCCATGATGATAACATTGCGATGTTTCTCCTGGAGCTATCGTGGTGGTCATGATCAGTCCTGGCGTTGGCTCAACCGTGGTGGCTAGTTCCTCGTCGTATTCTGTTGAACATTTGATTCAAATTTCAATTATTATATTAATTTGTTTTTTGTTAAAAATATATAAGTTGACGTTAGGCAATATGATATGTAACAGAATCTATCCCTTAAGAATTTTAATATTCTTATTATCTATATAATATCAAACTCTTTGTATAAAGAATTAGCTTCTCTTATTCTTTTAAAAACCATTTCCCAAAGAAACGAATCAATTTCCCTCTTGAATACTTCCAACACAAACAATATTTCATAAATAACATTCTTTACAATATTTACAAGAAACTTACCGCAATTGTATTTGACAGGACAGCAAATTCCCGGTTGATAGACGGGCCTGCATCCAGCCACGCGTAAAGTACACTCCTGCATGACGCAAGTAGTCCTGTTCCTGATACAGTAGCAGAGTTCGCAAGGATTCTGAGGATCGGTGGGCAATTGGGCACCGTCTGCGTAGAACCGATTCTCGACGTTGCATCCATAATTATCGTGGAAGCCAAGTGCTGTGGAACCAGAAGTTGCTGGCGCATTAGTAGTCGAAGTCAGTAGTTGCACCGGCACTTCTGGACAAGTGATGACAGGGCAACACTGATCTGGACGTTTCTCAACCGTGCAGTCTTGCCCGATCGCCTTCGTGAAGGGGCAAACCCTCAGATAACACATCAGCATTCGATTGTGACACGTGCAGTTCAGGCATGGTTCGTTCGTGATGATTCTATCCCCCTCGTCGTAGCGTTGGAAGTTGTAGTAGCACCCGGCCGTGGCTGTGAATTAGCAAAATTATTAGGAATATTTATTTTTATGAATCTGAATGTTCGGTTTGGGGAATAATTGATGAACGATTCTGTCCGTAGTTAAAATAGCCTAAGCTTAAATATCGAAAGTTAAAATAACCCGTTCAAGTTCAGAAATTGGAGGTTGTTTTATTTTTCTTCGTTACTCGTTATTCACAGAATGTAAATTTCCCAAAAGGAAAAAGAGAAAAATACGTTCAGAATTTCAAATATTTATCGATATATTTTAACTAAGGAGGGCAGAACTGTACTTTACAAGAGTAGGATGTGCGTTGTAGAGTTGTATGAATATACGACATTGAAGATGGAGGCAATGCACAACGTTCTTAATATTCATCGAAAGGATCGATTGAAAGCAGTGTCGTGTAAGAATCGTTAAACGGCACGTGCCGTCTGTTCGACTGCGATACAATTAACCTCACGTCTGTGGCGTGCGTGTACATTGATTAGGAGTAATAAAAGTCGTCACGGTATACGTACCTCCATCGTATTCTGCAACTTGTGTGGTATCCTGGTCATATACGGGCGCTGAAACAGAGAAAATTGCACGTTCCATTTTATATTTTCACTATGTACGATCTAAGTAACATATAAATTATTAAATTGAAGTTTACTTCATCACCGTATGTACACCTCCGGTTACAAATATTGAAATAACCGTTTCTCATAAAATACGATAGTTGGAGTACAAATTCCAATTCATATTTCATTCGAATTGAATTGAATTTCGCAATTAATCAATTAATTAATTTAATCCGGTTTCGGTGCACGTATTTTCTTACTTCCTTGAAAACTACGTCATTTACAATTTTATTTTTTTCAATTTCTATAAATGATATAAAATATTTCCAACCAAGATTGTTCGTAGTACGAAATTAACATTCGTTCCGCGGAGTTCGATGCGAAAATTCCAGCGTTAAAGTAGCGCATTCGTTCGAGGCTGAATAATCTTAAGAATCTTTATTTCCCATGAAATTTCGTATGGAGACGATCCGTGTCTCTGCATGCAGTTTATCATAGTAATTACCGGCGGGATGCGTTTGTCCGGAGGGTGAACCAGCCTCTAACAACGGAGTGAGTCAAAGCGTCATATGGCGCGAGCGTACGTGGGCGAATTCTCGTTAACACCCTCGCCCTAGTCGAACGAATTGTATGCCGAGCGCGCGCGGAATACAGAATTCTTTTATTTTTTTCCACTCTCTGTTTCTTACCCTTGTCTTCCTCACTTGTGCTGTTTTCACCGTTGCAGTAAAACGCAGTGGCGCGCGTGCACGAGTTTTGTCCCATCTCTGTCTCTCGCTCTTCGTTTTTGTTTTTATTCGTCGCTTTACGGGATGGCATTTTCGCAATTTCTTCGGTGCGCGACTCGAGAGTTCGATTGTTCGTGAAACGCGACGTGTGCCACCCTCTGCAACGTACAATCATTTCTGCTATTCTCTCCGCTCGAATAATGAGGCTCTCTATCCATCGATAGGATTTTCTTTTCCCGGTTCGCACCTTCGACTCGCGATTTTCAACGAAGAAAGATTTACTTACGAAGTCGAGATATTGGTAGTGGCGGAATATTTGATTGGGAAGTACGTATATGTGCGTCATTCTTGGAACAAATTGATCAGGAAACATTTAGCTTAAATTCGGAGATATGATTTTTTGTTGGGATGAGAATAGGAGAATAGAAATTTTTTGATCGAGTATTTTACTCGTTGATAGCGAATATCTTTAAAATTGGATGGATGTTGGAGGTATTTTTTTGTTGGAATTAAAATATTGGAAAGATTGAAATATTTGTCACAATATGTATATTAGAATATTTTTATATTTAAATTAGACAATCTTTTTGGTATGTCAAATTGCATTGAACTGCATTATCTTCTTTGATACCATACGCCTTCAATATCAGTTTCATATTAAGCAAAATAGTAGAAGCCTGTACGTTTTATGAACTGTCAATCTCTCCACTGTTCCGATAATGGTGATTCTACTTTGACTCTGTATTTTAATTTCAAGACATTTGTTTCATAAATTGCCGATGCAACTGTGGAGAGTACACGAATTCGCAAATGACATGTTGTCCTTTTTTCGAAAGTCTCTCTGCTTGTACTTTTTTTTCTTTGAAAACCGTCCAGGAACTCTTTGAAATGCACAAAACGTCTCCGTATGTGGATACGTGAGCCGAAGGATTCGAATGTCCAGCATAATCCCTTCATTGAACGTACAGAACTGGCAGATTTATTACATGGTACTGAAGATACTTCTTTTTTCCCTTTTTTTTTTCTTTTGCTCGTACGTCGATCTCCTTTTTTCGAAATCGACTAACTTGATAAATTTCAATACCATTGTCTTGGAAATCAAAGTCGTACTAGACCTAATCGATAGACGTTTTTCATTTATTTTTCATTCATTATGTTACAATGTTACAATTTTTATCTATTTTTCATTAGATTTGAGGAACGTTTGAAAATAATATTTCAGATTGATATACTTGAATATAAATTAGATATGAACGTTCAAGATGGTTGTAGAGATTGTGAAATAGAAAACGAGAGAAGCATGGGTGTAGTATACTTATAAGGAAAAAGCGTGGGATAGCAGTTCACTGAAACTGAGAGTAAGCGTCGTTTCGTGTTGTAGTCGCTCTGTCCAATGTTAAATTCATTCAATAACAAGAAGATCAATAAAATCTTGGCATCGACACGTGGAGAAGAAAAACGTGATTTTCTACTCATATAAATTTTTCCACTTTATTCCAGAGAGAGTCGGCGGTCGTGTCTCGTTCCCGATACTACTAGACGACCCTACGTGCCAGCTGATGAGACCGGCTCTCGATCGGAAGTCGATCCGCGACTCGAAGGCGCGAGGTTGAAATGCACGGCGCGTGCGTTTCCGCACGGCGCGGTCTTCTCCGGCGAACCACGCTGCAAGATTCGCGTATCCATTCTACGTGCTTTGCTCGGCGAGTCAAGGCATATTCGAGAATCAGCATTCCAGCGCTGTGCGGAGCGTGCAGCAGGCGTCGCTTTCCAGCGAATTGAATTGTACGGGGAAGCACACCGAGGTCCGTGAATGGAAGGGCCGTTCGTGTCTCTGTCGCGAGTCCCACGAACGGATCCAAGCCGCGTGCCTCCACGTTACACCGAGCTCAACATGTACTACGCGTATAGCTATATATATACATATATATATATATATACACGTACTATATTATACACGTTGCTCTTATACCGAGACGATTCTTGTCTTGCACGATGTCCGTGCTAAATTATTGCGCCCCCGTTCGGCCCTTGCCAACAACCGAGGCTTCATCGAGGTGTCGGCGTGTCGCGCGTGATTACAATCTTGGATTACTTTGTATTCATTCAAGAGGAACGACGCACCGATGAACGAGCGAA